TGAAAAATGTCAAAACATGTGGACAGTTTTTTGAGCCACTGTAAGTCCAGAAAGAGGGTAAGTGCCAGAAAGGCAAAGCTCTGGCCTAGGGAATCAATCCCTAGGCCTGATGAGTAGGACAGACTTAGGTGGACCAAAGTCCAAGAGAGGATTGGGCAAGTCTAAGTTAATATTCAAACTGAGGAACTACAGGAGTATCTACAGGGGTTATATACTGGACAATATCTGAGGGGATCAGTAAGCAAAGGAGCAAGGCTATGTACAAGCATGTGGAAACACATTAGTAAGTAAGATGGAATATAAGTAAATGAACTCAGAGATGAAAACTTGTACAAGGATCAATAAGCAAGACAGAACAAGAGGTAACTGAAAGCCGGAAAGGCAGAGATGCCTAAATGGGGATAGGCGCAGGATATCAGACAGAGGGTGGGAATAGGTCCAGAGTTAATATCTGGAGGTCTGGAGATCTGGAGATCTGGACAACAAGGTGGATACAGGATTGGGATATGAGAAGGTGGATATAGTCCAGAATCTGAGACAAGGTGAAGTCTGGATGTCTTGCTGGATGGAGTGTGCATAGGGTGGATGGGACAGGGGGGTATGGATCAGGCTAGCAGTGGAGATCTGATGGTCTGGAGCTCAGGGGTAAATCTGGAGCATAGTCAATCCTGCTGAGGTGTGGAGCACACAGCAGAAGGGGATCTGGGAATGAGTTGGATATGAAGTGGGGTCTGGATGTAGGCTCAGAAGGCATGGGAATATGATGGAACATGGGTCTGGATTGTGGGATATGACAGAAGTGCAAAAAGCATGAGATACAGGAATGAACAGATGCAACAAATATTTGATGAAATCTGTTGGAATGATGGCTTCATTGATGTGTATGATGATATTCTCACTGGGAATGCTTATCTTGATGCAGTCAGAGTGGGGAGAATCAAACAAGGAGATATGGTTCTAATGATCTCCATTGATGGTGCACAACTCTATGAAAGCAAGATGTCTGATTGCTGGATTTATATTTGGATCATCGTCAACCATTCTCTGGAGCACCATTACAAGAAAAAGCATGTACTTCCTGGCGGCATCATTCCTGGTCCCAATAAGCCCAAATACATCCAATCATTCTTGTATCCAGGCTTTCATCATCTTGCCTCAATTCAGAGAGCAGGTCTGTGTATTTGGGATGCCTGGAGTGATGTTGTCTTCATATTCCACCCATTTCTTGCACTTGCACTTGCCAATGGCCCTGGACTTCTCTGCATGAGCAGCCTTGTCAGGCACACAGGAAAGAACAGTTCCTGTATGTACTGTGGTTTGAAAGGATGATGCAAGCCACATGCCTCTCAATACTACCCTGTCCTGCTGAAGCCAAACAATTACACTGTCACAGGTTGCACACATGATGACATTGACATTGCCGATCTTCCACAAGGCACCTCCACACACTATGTTGAGAATCTCCATATCATGATGGCATCACATTGTCCTACTACTTAAGGGTTTTATGTACAATGCATATATAGTGACAACACAACTATACAGGATAAGACTTCTTGCCAGTCCTTAAGTACACAGTCTATGACTTTTCTAGTTTTCATGGTAGATAACGTGAGTTCTTGGGAGGGATATGTTTCAATTATCCTCTTCTTGTTTCCTTGGTCTAAAAGCAACTAGTAGTCTGGAGTACTGCATGTGAACTTTGAATGTGTAGCACTTTGTGTGCTTGTGAATCGTGTGTCCCTTCCTGGAAAAGAGAGAAGAAAGTAGTGTAGATGAAGCTTAGCTTAGTTAGCTGTACTGTTAGTTATATAGTCAACCCCTGTAAGGTAGTATATAACCTGAATAGATGTTTCTTAGTCTTACTTCAAGGCTACTGAATGGCCTGCACTTAAATCTTAAATGTTCTCACATGGTTTGAGATAAAGAGTGAAAGTGGGAAGTCTATTTTCATAGGTGTAAAATGAGCTCCTTATATACCTTTTTGGAGATCATCTTACTAAGCATGATTCTTCACAATGATTGGTAAGAATGTGCTTACAAACTTGTGTTGAGTCAGCTTGTTTACTAAGTAGATACTAAATAAAGTGAAATCTTACAAAGCATAAAGAAAAGTGGCATGAGTCATCACATGGATTGGTAAGATTTGTGCTTACAAACCAAGCCTGTGGGTGTGCTGAATCAGCCTTATTACTAAGTGGATTATAAATACAGTTGCAAGTCTTACAAAGCATGATGAATCATGACCAAACATGATGAGTCAAGTTGAATCCTTACAAATCAGAGTGTTTTCCCAGTCACATGACATGTTTACAAACATGCTTGGTGGCTCATGAGAAAAATGTGGTGGCTGAATATGCCTAAGTAAAAGTAGAAAGAGAAAAAATAGAAGTGAAATCTGAAAGTGAAGAACTAGCTAAGGAAAAATGATGGGATAACTTGGTGATAGGGATCAGTCTGGTGTGTTATACCTTCCTTATCACTTCTGTTATGTATATGTCATGGTATGAATCACATACCATGCATGACAACGTACTCAAGCCCAATATGAAAGAAACCATTTAGATACAGGTATCATTGGTCCCAGCATCCTCCTTGGACTTGAACTGGATCACATTCTGGGTGTACCTGAGTGCTTCTCCTCTGAGATCATGCATTTCTCAGGCGCTAACATGGCATTGCTGTATACAGATCTTTGGTGGGGTGTTGCAGACTGTCATCTGGTTACTGATTCTGTTCAAGACTGGGATTGGGCAGTGCTTGTTGGTGATGTATGGGAGGCTCACAGAAAATCAGTGGCTGCTACACACCCGCATCTCCCTGGCTCCTTCAATGTTCTCCCTTGAAATCCTGTTGAAAAAATCAATTCCTTCTACAAATCACGTGAGTTTATCACTTAGCTCTTCGGTATTGGCCCTGGTTTGCTTTATGGTGTCCTCCCCAACAAATATTTTCAACACTGTGACAAGTTTGTATGTGGACTCCACATCATGAGCCAGTACCATATCACACCTGCAGAAGTCATTGATGCATGTGTTTCCTTTGCTGAATGGGAGCAGGAATTGGAAGAAATGTATTACCAGCATCATATTGACCACATTCATTTTATCCATCCATGTGTCCACCTCTCAAATCACATTGCACAAGAAGCAACTCGTGTTGGTGCTCCCAGTTGCTCATCTCAATGGCCTCTCGAGCGGACAATTGGGGACATTGAGTTCAATTTGCGCCAACCATCCAATGCTATGGCCAACTTCACTGAGATCTGTGTTCTTCACTGTCAGGTAAATGCTCTCAAGGCCATCCTCCCACAGTTTGACACCAATGACAATCTGCACCCACATGGCTTGTTTGATGTTGGTGATGGATATGTTTTGCTTTGTGGTTGGGATAAAAAGCCTCAGCAAGCTCATGGTCTTGAGGCTGCTATTATTTCAGATTTCCTTCATCATCCCACACCAAAATTCAGACAGCAGTCATGTCTTCAACTTCCCAATGGCCAGATTGCCCGTTCCACTTGGAGAGAAAAAGAATCTTCTGCTGAGAATGTCTGCATGTCTCGTAATGTCAAGGTACTTATTTCCACCACTGATGTAGACTATCTGACAATTCAGCATTAGTTCCATGTTGATGGTATTGACCATTTTGGGGAAGTTCAGTACTTCACGCAACTTGCAGTAGAGGATGACGAGCCAGAAGATGTGGATGATGAATTATACAACATGGACAAATGACATCATCTCCAATTGGAAAATGCTGCCCTTATTTCCATTTACTCACTACCAGATGCACAGCTCCTTGACTTCTCCCATGGAACTGTATGGTCATGCATTCATGAAGGTGACAATGGCCTACAAATTATCAACATTAAAACAATCAGGGCAGTTGTTGCTATGGTTCCACATTGCCCCACTCTACCTTCTGGTATCACCAAAAACAGATTTTTCATGGTAGAGAAAGCTGGGCTTGATGTTACACTCACTGGTGTCAAAGTTGAAGACAATGTACAAGATGAATAACACTTGAATTGAAATCGCTGTATGTTTTTGTGAGCACATGATAAGATATTGGCAATGTCAATAATATCAAATACAAACACTTCAGCAGCTACAACATTCACATCTTTCCTTTAGACCTTTACAACTTTTATGCCTACTGAATATGCTCCCAGACACTCCACAAATGCAGCATCATAGGCCTCTATTTTCAAATCTGCTTGAACTGAACAATACTCCTTACTTTCCAGATCTCTGGCACACTCACAATGGGAGGGCAGATTTACTATCACCATTCTTAGATGGATCGTCAAAACAGGCTAGTACTAGCTATGGACATTGTCCACCACATGATGATGGAACAGTGAGTATATGGTAACATATTCAATGTACTAGCTGAATCAACACATAAGGCTGCATATATGTGCATGCATCAACAGATTCAAGCTCTAGTGAGCAAAAACAAGACTCTCAAACAGCAGAACAATGTATTATTAGCATCTCAAGATGCATACAAGTTTGTTTTTCACATGTATCTATCACTGTACCTGATACTGCTACAGGAATGCCTTCAAGATACTTGCAACCTCAATTTCCCTTGATGTCAGTGACTTGGACATTGCTAAGTTCTCTGGAATTCCACCTGGTTTCAAATGCACCATCTACAAACCCTCAGCTCACGAGTGAAAGTGTTCCAAACCCCTTCACCAGAGTGCCTATCCAAATATGAGATTTTGGACACCTAGCTTGTATGAAACATGGAAGAAGTCACCCAACGTGCAGTACACTGAACACAGAACCTTTCCTTTTCTCAAGAATGCAAATGGCAAGCCAGTTGAAAAGTCCAAGGTAACTTGCATTACAAAGAGTTTGCAAAGCTGCTGGGTCACCTTAAAGCAAGAGAACTGAGCTCCCTATACCTGGGGCAAGGCCAGAAACAAGATCCTTGATGAAGTTGCAGGGGAGATGGCACATTTGCACCCTATTCTTGCCTTATGCGAAAATGGATGGAAGGTACATGTGATTGCAATGGAGCAGTATCCCTCATGGACAGCTACACACCTGGACAAAAACAAAGGAAGGTCCACAACACAGGGTTTGACAATCATGACACATCAAAATGGCGGAAAGTATCTGGGTCTGTCAAGCCTGAGTCTGATGCATCAAAGTCTCAAATCACTGGCAACAAGTCTATTAGTACCCTCCCTGAGTGTGAGGTGAAACAGGACACACCCCTGAAAGACATTTCCATGACTTCCATCCTCAATTTTCAGAAAAGCAATATTGACACTTCTGGGCAGGAGCAACAGTCCAATGATACACAACAGCCACAATCTATTGAAGTGTTGACTCCTTCCCTGTGGCCTGGGCCTGTGTCTGTTCCTGTGCTCCATGTTTCACTGATTACTACTACCCATGATGCAAGCAACTCTCCAGAAGCTTCATCCCATGCAAACACAGCAGATACAACCCCTCAAGACTGTTTTGATCATAGCAACAACACCATCAACATGAGCACTTGCATTACTGAGGACACAGAGATGCCTGTAGAAGTAACAGTTGCAGCCATAGTAAGTCACCAACTTGTGCTTGTATCATGTTCATGAATACTGATAGTATTGTAGGCCTCCTTGCCTGTTATCAAGAACCCTCTGTAAGTCTTCCATAACCTTGTTCAAACTGGCACTGACTCGGTGTGGGAAACACAACAAGAAGAGAACTGGAAAGTAGACTTCTAATGTTGGGCTAAATGTGCTATGCCTAGCTGCTATTCAACCCTAAAGGGTTTCTGGACTAAGCTCAGTGCTCAGAGAGGATAGGAAATCATGCTAATAACTCTCAGTCTCAGACTGGTACTGGTAGGTGGTGAAAACTATGATGATTACATAAGCACCAAAAGTGCGAACATATGCCTATACAAGCCCACAGAATATGAAATCCCTACATCAGGTACATGCAGTGCGAAGCTTGCCAGCTGAAAACGCGAATCTACTGTCCCCAATCCTGTGGTGACTCCATCCAACATGCCAACCCCACTGTCCACACCCATGCTGCCATCCAATGATATGCCCACACCCCCTGCATCAGCTACTGTTGAGTCAGCAAGCATTAAAATTTTTTGACCTGGTATGTCGAAGAATGGTAGGTATGTCATGTGTCAATCTAGAACACAGTAGCAACCTTTGACATGGAATCTTGGACTTAGGTCACTCTGCACACACCAGTGGTTGAAGCAGGTCACTCCAAATGGCTTGTCAGCCAATTTCAGGATTTACTGGTCCGGATTGATGAAAGAGAAGCAGCTGGTAGGTACTCCTGTGATACATGTTTCACAATGTTGATTTCTGTCTTGCAGGCTTATGAAACAGACACACTGAAGCTGGTAATGGACTCAACTAAATGCACCCTCATCCTGATGCAGGTGTTTACAATTTTTTTCTCAGGTCAAGGATGATATATGGAATGGCAATACAGTCAACATCATCAGCAAGATCTCTTCCAGCACCTTATACTAGTCGGCATCCAGGGCACATGCAGAGGTCGACATCAGGTGGCCTGCTGGCAAGGACCAGGGGGGCAGCAGGCCGCAGCAGGCAGTATCAACCAGCTATTCATTTGCTTTTTCTTGCAATGTATATCAGTGTCATTTTCGTGTGATTTCCGTAGTTTTATTGCCTGGTACAACTACAATTGAGAATCTACAATCATCGACAGAAATATCATATGCAAGAATCAGTGCAAAATCATGAGATCTCCATCGAACAGCATCGCTAGAAAATCTCATATATGTCCCATTCTCTATGGAAATCTACGGAAATCTTATGTTCCTGGTTCATCAATATTTTGGCCGTTTTCCGTCGATACAGTGAGGTCCGGTTCTCACTGGGATTGAGGGCCTAGACCGATCGATCAACACAGCCACGGCGAAATGACAAATCTACAAAACGTGAAAATCAAAACTGACAAGACCCAGTGACTCCCTTACGGTAGCGGGAATAGATAGATTTATAGATAGATAGTAGAGTAGATAGATAGGTAGATAGATAGATTTTAAACCGCAACACCTCTACAGAAAGATACCTACAATCCCTCGATCGTGCTCAATGTCATCAATCTCTAGTAAAATGTCAAAGCTTATTCCGATCACTACACCCCTGCGAGAGTTCAAAGGTCATGAAGGTTGGGCAAAGGCAGTCGCAGTTTTCCCCGATAAACAGTGGATGGTTACAGGCTCGAACGACAAGACGCTTCGTCTGTGGGACTTGAAGACAGGTGTTGTGTTGAAGAAAATGGAGGGGCATCGCAGGGAGGTGGGAGCATTGGCTGTATCACGAGATGGGCAATTGATAGCAAGTGGTGATCTTGGAGGAGAGGTCATCGTTTGGCACGGAGAAAGTGGCGAATCGCTCACCGAACCCATTAAAGCCCACTTTAGTCATATCCTCTCACTAGACTTTTCTTCTAATGGGACAGTGCTGGCCACTGGTTCATGGGACAAAACGACGAAGCTATGGAATACCAAAACCTGGCAACTGCAAGGAGATCCAATCCAGTGTGGTAGTGAAGTTCGCTGCGTACGGTATTCGCCGTCTGGCACACTTCTTGCTATCGCAACAGTCTTCAATATCCAAATTTATAATACAGGCACGAGAGAATGCGTTGCATCCTTCAAGGTCACACAAAACACAACTGGTCACTCGCGTGGACGCCCGATGGCACACACCTTCTCACAGGCGGCGATGATCGCGATCTTACCATCACGGGCGGCAATAAGGACGATCCTACCATACGCGAATGGGATACAACGACCTGGCAGCAAGTTGGTGATCCCTGGACGGGCCATGCTCACTATATCCAAGCCATTGCCGTTAATCCTGCTGGCACACTCGTCGCATCAGCATCTTTTGACAACCACGTCCGTCTCTGGCGGCTCTCAGACCGACAAACCATTGCCACTTTCAAGCACTCATCCTGGACACAATGCGTCGCTTTCTCCGTGGACGGCAAGCACATCCTCAGCGGGGGTAAAGATAAGATGATCTCCGAGTGGGCATCTCAGGATATACATCCAAAGGCATGTTACCGTCCCTGACTCATACACCACAAATCGAGCATATTTTGAGCAGATCCTAGCCATCACGACAGCGCGCAGTGCGTGCATAGATGGAGACTTATCTACTGCGGTACAACTACTCACGCTAGACATCAACACCGATGCCAACAACTATACTTCCTTTGCCCATCGCTCATTCGTGATGGCACGAAAACGCGACTGGGACCGCGCCCTTCAAGATGCAATCAAGGTGAGACTCACTGATACATCATCGCTCCCTTATGAAAGGCTAACTCGATGGCGACATAGTCCATCAGCATCCAGCCCTCATTGACAGGCTATATCTCTAAGGGTATTGCTCTCTGCGGAAAAGGCCGTGTCCCAGATGCGAGGGCAGCATTTGATGTTGCATCCATGTACACGGATCAAGATTCACAAACCATTCATTTCCTGCTCTTGATCAAGGTATGTTACAGTTGCCTCACATACTCTCCGCTTCATCACGTATTTCAGGTCATCGCCCTCTTCAGTGCAGATCAACATTACGAAGCAAACCTGCTCCTTGAAGAACTTACTACCGGTTGTCCGAATGCCGATACTCTCGCGTGTTGTGTCGTGCAAGTAGGTATTATCTAGGCTTGGTCATCAACACTCATCTTTGCAACCTCGCACATCAGGCATATCTACATGTTCAACTTGGAATGAAAGTCTTGGATGGTGCACGTCACGACGAAGCCGCTGACCATTTCACTTCCGCTCTCAACTCCGGCATTTTATCACGGAAATCGGACATTCATGAAATTTACGAGGATTTGGTGGTGGTACGTTAAGATGATGCACACATAACGCTTTTCATAACTCAGTATCTTGTCCAGCTCTTTGGCTGGGACCTGAAGTCCTTGTGGCAAAAGGCACACCAGACACGGTGTGATGCACTCCTTTTGGCAGGTAAACTTCAGGATTCCGTGAAATCATACCAAGACATGATGGTTGATAACGATGTAAACAACGAAGGCTAGCTGCCTTGAATGGTCCAACGGCAAGTCTGGAGTTCCTAATGTCACGCGGGCTACAATCCTCACTCCCGTTTTACTCAGCTTTCACGGAAAAATGCAGCGCGCTCTGCCTTACCAACGGAGATGCTGCCCTCGCTGCAAGCAAGTATGACAGAGCTATTGACCTATACTCGGCGGCGATCGACCTGGATTCTACATCCGATGTCGTCTTTACAAATCGCAGCAAGGCAAAGTTGGGGAAAATGCTATGGGAGGATGCCCTCATTGATGCGCAAAAGGTGCGGTGGCGTCTACGTTTTTGTAGCTCACGTTGACTTCAGGTGATGGATAGGTCATCGAACTCAATTCTTTGTCTCACGTTGGATACAATTTGAAGCATGCAGCGCTTCATGGGGCACAACGTTATGATGAAGCTATTGCGGCCTTCCAAACGATGCTCTCAGAATTGGATCATGCCCCTGACACTGAGACACGAAGTAAGCCCCAATAACTCGTGCGTGAGCATGCCTTAACTGTTTCTGTAGAGTTGCGCCGGCAGTATCTCAGTCCGTCCGAAGCTGACCTATGCTATTCGAAAAGTTATTGATGCTCAACTCGACAATGCTCCGCTGCGTGTATTCGATACCACTACCGGTCTCTTATGCGATCGAGAAGCGCAGCTATGCACCTTCAAATCGAGCACAGAGTATAGAGAGCTTGTGTCATCAACAATCATGCATCGAGATATCGAAATGAAGCACATCGAAGATGTGGTGATGACGTACTTCCAATATGCCATGCTATCGCACAGATGGGAAGGCAAGGAGCCACTGCTGCAGGATATCCAGGGCCAGATTGTCTACGAGTTGGATCCAGTTGGCGGCATCACGAAACTGCAGTCCTTCTGTAAAACTGCTCGCGATTTGGGGTATCGCTGGGCATGGAGCGATACATGCTGCATCGACAAGAGCAACGATGCTGAGCTCCAAGTATCGGTCAAGTCCATGTTCGTCTGGTATCATCTCTCCGCGCTCACAGTCGTATACCTCTCGGATGTTCCGCCTTCGTCAAAGTCTGGCGCACTGACAAAGAGTGCTTGGAACATACGCGGATGGACGGTTCAAGAATTCCTCGCTCCCAACATCATTCTCTTCTATCAGAAGGATTGGACTCTTTATCTTGACGATCGCACTCCCAACCACAAGGATTCCGTCACGATTATGCAGGAGTTGGAGCACGCGACAGGCATAGATCGACAAGCCGTCGTGAACTTCCGTCCCGGAATGAGAGGCGCTCGAGAGAAACTTCAGTGGGCGTCAACACGTATTACCACGTTGGAAGAAGACATCGCATACTCGTTATTCGGCAGTCTTTGACGTCCGCCTACGTGTTGATTATGGCGAGAAGATGCAGAATGCGCTCGGGCGACTCCTGCAAGAAATCGTAGCTCAGTCGGGCGACATTACTGCCCTGGACTGGGTCGGAAAGTCATCGGGGTTCAATAGCTGTCTACCAGCCGACATCACTTCATACGAAGCTCCACCATGCAAGCCGCCATCTCTATCCGAAGATGAGATTCAGTTATCTATCTCCTTGCTGCGAGGTGTGACTCTAGAGTTGGCTTCAAAATTGTATCAGACACTTGACTACCTGAGCGCTCCCCGTTTCGCGTACCGCCGGTTGCATCTGCCTTGCATCGTATTCCCGGTCACAGAAGCTAAACGAAGACTAGGTCGAGACCAAGGACACACATACATATGAACTCAAAACAGACGGGCTTCATGACCTGCAGATCATCACGGCAGACAAGTTGATCCCATTCTCCCCTGCAAGGCCGCCGCTCGCCTGGCAGACAATCTTGCTTGTTCGTCCATGGAGTCGCGATCTCCTTGAGTTACATGACCCTGTAGAAGATAAGCAGAACGTGGAAAATTGGTCTGTGCCTCGATCTCCGTTGCACGATTCACCCGCTGCACAAGACGAGTCGGTTCATTCGGATGCTCACTTGCGAGCATTGCGTTTGATAGTTCGCCTTGGACAACCTTTTAGTGCATTTTTGCTAGCGCGGCAACGGGACGGAGAATTCAAGAGGATCGCGTCGGATCATGATATTATTGCGAGGGTTAAAGACATGACTTCTGTTGACAACATGATGGACATCAGGACACTTGAGATACTATAGCTGTGTGGAGCTGTTTAAAAATATACGAGCGATTTTCGTTTGTACCTTGATGATTAAATCTGTATAGTATTTAATTATAGTGGTAGTCAGGGTGGACGATTTTGAGGTGATTCAGCGTGCGGTTCAGAAATTCAGTGGCATGGCACCCAAAGGAAAAGGCGTCCAGTCTTCGCCGAAAGCTCGTAAAAAAGCACCCGTCAAAAAGTCAAAAGCGCAGCGAGTGGGTAAAGTCGAAGTCGGAGATACCATGGAGGCTATCGAGTGTCAAATCCGTCGAAATCAGGTCGAAATCGAGGGATGTCGATCAAAGTTGAAATCGGATTTCGACATTTTTGAGCATCCAAATCCAAGTCCAAATCGACGTCCAAATCACATCCAAATCAGTCTCCAAAATCAACTTTGAACTCCCCTATTAAATGCCTGTTGGGGGATGCTGCAACTGTCCAGACTGCATCATGGTGACCCAACAAGGGCTCCCCCACTTGTTGTCCTGTGTCCAAATCCCACACCCAAACATGAAAAATGGTGCACATAGTATGTGAAACACGGTATACATTTTGATACATAACCAGCAGGAAAGGGAGAGCTCAGGCTTATATTGGGGCGCAGTCCTCATCCAAAAAATTTAATCGGCACAATAACTCTAGTTTCATGCAGGAACGTCGTAGTTGATGACCATCGATGTCGGCCACGCGCTAGGCAACATCTTCTCGTTAAGATATGCATAGCGCAGCACGGGGAGTGTATTATCTTCAAACCGAGGGAGATCTCCTGACTGGCCAGGGCCGCGACGAACATTATCGAATGAGAGAATGCCGCGGAGGACTTCAGCGATGATCGTCGAAGCAAGGCCCTCCCCAAGAACCTTGAAACAACCGTCGCCACAAAGATAGCGCTCACGAGGAGTGCCCGTAGTATCCAAGATTGTTGGGTTGTGGAAGGCATCCTCCTGAACATCACGTTGGAGAGATGCACGGAGCTTTGCATAATAATGACTCACGTTCGTATTTGCAGTGGCAACATCCACGAACAGGCGTTCACCTTGCTTGACGGTCAGAGAGCCTATGGTTTCATCCTGCTTCGCGATATGGTAGACACCAGCGAAAGGTGGGTCGATTCCTGAGCCGGTTTGTCAAAACGGGCACTTAGACAGAACAGAACACACACTGAGGGCCTCGATAGTATAGGCAGCTAAACTGGAAAGGTCTCTGGTATCCCCTCTTAGCTGCTTGGATAGTAATGGACGACTTCTCCGAATCAAGAAGCTGGTTGACGACGTTTGTCAAAGCTATGATAGTCAGATCTGAGACCCGTCTCCGTAATAACAATAAATAGGGAGAACATACCAAGAGACATCTCGACAGTGGCGCCGATCAATAACGCAAGGATCGAGTTTACAACTCGCTCGGTGGAATAACCAAGCTCGAACAAGCGTTTAACAATCTCATTTTGGTTCTTACCACCAAAGAAACTAGACAATGTGTCAAACAGTCCAGCGAGAGACATTCTGCTCTGGGCACTTCCAAGAGCCTTCTCGATAAGGCGCGCCAGTTCTTGCACATGGTCCTTAACCCTCCGCTTCAAAGCCATGTACTTTGCTGCCTCAACCTCGAGGAAGATGAATCTTGGTAGAGCATCAGTAATAATTGCAGAGGAAATGCACATCAATACTGACTGGTAAATCTCAGAAAGCATATCGAACAGCTGAGACTCGGTGAAGACACCGTCAGGACGTTGCTTCGTTTTGAGGGGAATGCCAGCCTATGATCATAATGAGTGGATATTGGGATCATTCATCCAGCATAAACGCACAACTTCAGTAGCAGCCCAGGACAATGGCACAACCTTCAGCACATCTCGAACGATGTTGATAGCACAAGTCTTCTCGCCGACCAGGGAGAACGAATGTTGCTCAATCAGTTCCTTGGTCTTGTTGTAGAAATAGGTGCCGATCTTAGAGATGGCTTCCGAAGAAGGAGCAAGCGCGCTGATGCACTGCTTCTGCTCTTCAATGCCATTTTCAGATGCCGCAAAGAAGCTATTGGAGCGTTTAGTGCTAGTCAAATCGTAGTATGTTCAGCGTACCCCTCGCCCTTGATGACCTCTGCTGCACGCTCAACGTACTCAGGCATAAATTTTGTAGTGTTGCGAAGCACATGGCCAACCTCCGCATAATTGGTCACATTGGTACAAGGTCCACGAGGCTTTGGCCGTGCAAGAGTGTATCCGTCGAGCTTGCCAAGGTCCTTCAAGTAACCCTCCATAGGCTCTGGGTGCATGAAAGGAAACCACGTATAGACGCTATCTGCAGTGTAATCGTTGGGCAAGGTACGAAGAAGGAGACGACCAAGTGTAGAACCGAATCCATAGCCGTCAGGGTCTCGCTGGCAGTCAGCGAAGCCCCATGCAGTCATATTGTATGGCGTGAAGTCCTGTGTGAAGAAACGGTCACCACGAGTCAGGGCGATGGCATCTGAAAGGATGGCACGAGAAATAGTGTAGCCTGATAGAACACTAGTGTAAGTCTATACAAGTAGCATCTGAACGAAAAGGTGATACCTGGGCAGAGTCCTGTGCCCTTCCTAAGAGGCTTGGTTTCCTCAGCCTGGATACCAGCGTACAGCTCCAAGTTGTCAATGTGACCATAAAGCTTCTCTGCGGCTTCAGCAATCTCGTGGTTGCGGTTCCATTCCAAGAAACTGGAGTATGCTGCATAGCCCTAAATATCCAAGAGAGTGTTGGGACTTGACTTACTTTTCAAACCAAGGAACTTCCTATAGTCATTGAGCGAGCAAACACCCCATGATCGGTTAGCTTCGATACCCATGATCTCATGGAGACGCATTATTGAGGGTGTACCACGAGCACCGAAGGCAGCAGCATGTTGTGAAGTACTGAGAGAATGCGTCAATTCAGACAAAAGGCAGAATGTGATTGTGATCACGAACGCGGTCATAAGGTAATTCGCAAGGTCGGAGTCCTTGAACGCACTCGCGTTAGGACCTTCGGTCTGACGCTGGAGGCTGCAAGAGAAATTTGAGCAGTGGCACCAATGGTAGCCTCAGGTTACTCACTTCCCGAATGTCCATTTATCAAGATGCATCCTCATCTCCATGTCCTCAAGCTGTGCTGCAGCTTGATAGAAATCTTTTAAGGTGATCTCCTCAGGGTTCTTAGTAGGGAAAAGTTGCTGGAACTGAAGAGTAAGCCACTCTTCATCTTCAACAGATGTCGTGGCATGCCATCTGTACAAGCAATTGAATTCAACACTGCAAGCATTACCACGACCGCGCTCGAAGATCTGATGATCATTGTTACGAATTTCGTCGAATGGCTCAAGACTCCAGCTTGATCCTTGTCGCACGATGCCCAAAATGCACGAAAAGTAGTCAGAGAAAACAATGGCTGCAAACCATGCACAGTTGTTTAGGCGTGCGATTTGGAAGATTTCCTCATCTTGCTTATCGAGCTGAGCTTGACTGACAGAGTGTTGGGCAGGATCCTTCCAAGTGCCTCGTTCGTTGATCTCGAGCAACCGACGGGCAATGTACTTCATGTGATGGGCTTTAATTGATAACCGTAAGAATGATGGATTAAGGCGACATACATTGTGATTCCTGTTGAACAACACCAAGAGCACACCCACCGTGGGAGGGAGGAAAAGGAGCCGATCCTCAGCGAACACATCAGGGCGAAGTAAGCCGCGTCCTCCTTGAGCCTGACCTAGGTTGATGTCATGGTTGATGTTATAAGAGGCTCATCAAGCACCAACCTTATCCTGCGTTTCCTGGTCATTTCCGTACAGAGGAGCGAGGTCAACGTAACTCGAAGTCATGTTAATATGTCCCTTGCCGGGAGTATGATCTGTGCGGAAGACGCTGTGAATGACGAGTGCTGCAAAGGAGAACATTAATGCAGACAGGCCCGCGGGATGTTTGACGAACTAATAGTTATGTTTGCATAAGAAGTTAAATTTCAACAGGTGGTGTCGCACACACGTACCTTCTCTCTGCGAAGCAAGGTATCGAATACCAGACCAGCATCGGGCATTTGGTTCCGTGGTAAGGGGTTTGACTGCTGCACGGAACGTGCATAAGGTGTACCAGCTTTACCGAGGTCAGGGATATCACGGTTGTTGTTTGAACCGTCAGCAGTGCGGAACTGATACTTTGGTTCAATGAATGTAGTAGGCGGGTGCGCGAGGTCATTATACACTACAGTAGAATTCATATTCATAATTGAACTGCTTGGCTGTTAAGTGCCATATTACTTACAGGGTCTTAATGACGAAAGTCCGAGCCATACTCGAAATCTTCCCTGAGTGATCGGCCATGAACGATAGCAAGTCTTCTAGCTTGATGACACAGGACAGCTGTTATAATCATTGAGCTTCTGATCAGTTTGGGAACTCACAAGCATCTTGCGGTCATTAAGTGCGCCTGGATGAATGATGGCGTCAAGGGCGGAGGACTGCAGGAAAGCGTCAAAAACTGTCCAGAGACGTTGATCAGGCAGAACTGACAAGGGCTGACTCGTTGATGTCTTCGGCGGAGCAATTTATCTAAGTCAAAGAGACGTTAATGGTGGGCAATCGATTTAAATTGTGCACCCACGAGGTCCTTGATATGTTCCAAGGCTTTCAGCCCCGAGTCACTCGAAGAAAGAGCAGCGTCGAAAGCTAGAGACGCCAAACCATTCTATACGTAGTTAGATGTATATCCCAACGGTCGTGCACGTTGGAATGCATACTGCTTCACTGTTGGTTGAAAAGTGCGATAAAAAGGTTTGGTCGAGGGACGACATGACAGTCAACGACGAAGATATTGAAGTGGAACCTTAATAGCCAGACATTTATGCGATACTTATGGGCCGACATGAACTCCTTGAAACCTTCAGTAACCATCCCGGCCTGAATTCCCCAAGATCTGTTCTTGGCGTTACGGGGTTTCTCCTTCTCCGAGCTAGCACTCAATGTTAACCGACACGCAAAGCAAATTAGACCAAAAGTTCACAACAGTATATGCCGCTCACGAGTGATAGTGTTTGCTCGCTGTGTCGAACGATGAGCCTCCACTACGCAAATGACAGAGCGCATTGGGCAAAGGTTGAAAGTCGTTGATATGGTGTCGAAATAAGTTCAGTGGCACCGTATCGCCACTGTCCCATGAGCGTTTCAAAGACAGTGGCTCTGCTTGTTTCACGGTCGCATCACGGTGCCAGGATGGTAACTGTACAGCGGTTGTCAGCCAGGGCCGCACCATCAGGGGCCTGGCCTAGACCTACGCGACTAAAATCAAACCAATTACATAATTTGGGAAGATTCAAGACGAGCACCCGAGCCCTTTACTTACCTGCAGTGGGATCATCGCTATCGTGACCTTTCGACTGATTCTGCGATGGCCATGAGGCCCGAACGCCTGAGCAGCGAGTGGAGATGCCATCCCAGAATGCTCAGTTGGTACTTCCAATGATTCAAGTCCATTAGAATACCCCGATGCAAACCTAGACTAAGTATGTCAAATTTTGAAAAAAAATTAGACAAGTTATACAAATTAGCGCTAGATTCAATAATCCATTGAAAACGATATACGTTCGCTGCTCTGGGTCCGCGGTTGTCACATGCATGTGCAAATTTTGTCAAAAGTTCAAATTTCAGTACTAGTAGTTAGTAGTGCGGTTGTTGCGTCAAGACTTGAAGGTGGGGAATGTGTCGAACTGCAGAAGGATGGTCAGGGGTGCATCGAACCTACCACAACATGAAGACTCACATCATTGAAGAACCCACGGGGGTCTAGCGAATTGTGGTCGAGGCTTTGGGCCCGGAATGGTCTGCTGGAGGAGTGAAGTTAGTGTCATTGTAAAAGACAACTATGAAAGCCTACTTCAAGACAGTTATTTTTCCATTATGTGACATGTCAACGTGAAAAATGGCACGATGGGTTGTCTGTTGGCACTCCTTCTCCACTTTGCGCTGAGGAACCGTCCATGTGCAAACCAGATTGTCTCCATAGCCAGTCGCAATGAGCTGTCTTTCCTCGGAGAAAGTCGCGCAATGCACGTCATCCGAGCGCACGAATGTCTCGCCGATGACTTCGAAAGTGGTCTGGTCAAAAAACCGGGTCGCTTATCGGCCGATGTGGTGGCGAATCTGATGACATTGGGAGCAGTGGCTAGTGAGGCGAAGGTTTCATCGGTAAGCGTCAAACTGTTTGATATGTTTCCGGTGGCAGCATCTGAGATTCGGATGTCTTTGTCACTCACACTGACGAGATGGAGATCGTCTGGAGTAAATGCGACTCGCCATGCCCGCTGTTGTATCCTTCGCAATTCTTCTCCGTTTGCAGTATTCCAGGCAGTGATGTGTTTGTCGGTTCCTGCTAATCTGCTACCTTTCGGGTAGTAAGACACCGAGTAGGAGTCCCTCTGCCACACGCATACCGCATCGTCCAATGATACACTTGCGAATGTCTTGTTGTCTGGTGTGAATACGATACTCCATACTCTGCCTTCGTATCCCTTGAATGAGATCAGTACTCCTGGTTTTTTCCAACTTCTCAAACGAGGATTCTTCCGATCCTCACTTCACTCACATACTAACGCCCATTGGGGGATGCTACAACTGTCCAGACTGTGCCATGGTGACCCAACAAGGGCTCCCCTACTTGTTGTCCTGTGTCTAAATCCCATACCCAAGGACTCTCGTCGCCAGAGCAAGATGGAAATCAGGGATGGGAGCTATGCTGTCTACCCAGTCTTTATAACCATTTAGCGTCCGTTCTGCGTAAGGTGGTTCCTTTCGGGTGGGCGCTCAGGGAGCTTTATCAGTAGTAGTTGCCACGTCATTATTCTGTGTCTCGCTCAGCAGGAGCGATGAACAGGAGGCACACACTTACGTGCTCTGTGATCGGCGGCCTCTCCACAAATTGCTGCTGAACCCCACATCTCTGCCTTGCTGTAGACACGCGGTTTCCTCGACCTTTCTAGCTCACAGCCCCAGTCCATGATTTGTGGGTTCTCAACTGTCATTGGAGCAAATGCTGTTCGCTGAAAAACTCTTCTAAACCTGCTGCTATCGAAGAGAATATGTTAGCATTGCAGTGAGTTACGGTCTTGCCAACCTCACCTGTGATACAGCGTCGCTGCGCGACTGCTTCCTGGTCAAATGCTGATAATATCTGCAGCAGTCATGTAGGCACACAATGCACATTTTGCAGCAGGCGGCAGTACCAGGTACTAGTACTATGACTACTTGCGCTGTGCTCCGGGATGTCATATTAGCTCACTCGATTCTGAATCCTCAGATGACAATAAAGTAATACCTGGGATGCCTTCTCGCACTGCTAGCATCACTGTGCGGTTTGTGTTATCTTTGTCACAATGCCGGGCCTGTAGCCCAGAGCTTCCGGGGCCCGTATCCTGAACCCTGAACGCCGCTCTTGTTGGTCGCGTGCACCTTGGCGTACATATCTCGCTCAGCAGTTCACAGCTCTATTCCTCTTTGTCATTGTGCGATCAGCCGGTTCATGGTCTCCAACTCTGCAAAATTCCGCACATCAACATCTCACGAATCCAGCTCAGACGGTTTCACTGGTGCTCTAAACCGCGAGAGAAAAGTCGACCGCTCAAAATTGACATGCAAACGATGGCTTTGAATACGATATTTCAAGAGAGACTTGCATGTTGCCTTGAATATGTAGAAATGACGACCAGCGCAGAGCAACGCGAATATGAAGTTGCCGGTGTCGCAGGCAGAATGTTCTGGAGGAGTCATGATCACAACAAACTTGTAAACTTTAACTTCCTTCAAATTCTTACATTCTCGCTACTATATCCTTCAGCTGTTAGCACAACAGTCTTTCATCTCTTTTTTATTATAACTACAACCAATTGCGAGCAAGATGGCTATGCCAAGTTCTACTGCGAACTGGCACTGGAAAAATAAAAATGTCACTTCGTGGGCAAAGGAATGGTTCCAGCGAGAGTTGACAGCTATCGTGATCGAAGGAACCGAGGGAAATGTCACGATTTCTTCTGTGAGGATCGACGAGGGTGATGTCGAGCTCGGCCAGCGCAAGTCAAAGTATGCATCCTGTTGTCTCTGCACTTTGCGCATTCATGAAGAGATCTTTTTTGTCATTTTCAGGTTGATCACGATATACGACATTCAAATGAAGCTAGATTGGCAAGGGGCCACGAGTGATGGGACAGATGTAACTGGGAAACTCAGTATCCCAGAAGTCTCGCATGAAATCACGCTGGATAAGCTGTCAGACTATGTCGTATGTTTCGTGATGCCCAACACGGAGACCGTGAAGTTGAAATGTTTTGATTACAGTACAACTGGACGCTCGACACTACTTCTAGTCCTGCAGTGAGCGCGCTCTTCGCTTTCGTCAAGACACGTCTCCCAGCTGCTCTCGAGGCCAAGTTTGCTGAGTTCCCTGCAGCTCTCATCGATACCCATGGAAAGGACCTTACTGTCAGCGGGGAACCTAGCCGCACAAGTACCCCAGCTCTTTCTATCGACGCAGTTGCTGCGACGGCCGCATCAGCCTCTACGACCACTCCAAAACCTGCCCCCGTCAAACAATCTCAAATTAACACGTCCAGTGTGGTCAAGGAAGCGACATTTATGGCCGCTTCAGATGATCTTTTCGGACTCTTCACGGATGAAAAGAGAATTCCTTTGTGGACCCGTGCACCAGCTCAGGTAATTCGGGAGCACGTCCGTGAGCTAATTAGACTCACATGGTTCCTTTGGTAGTCTGCAGCGCAAGCAGACACTGATTACTCGTTGTTCGGTGGTGGTGTCAAGGGAAAGTACGTGTCACTGACGCCAGGCAAGGAGATTGTGCAGACTTGGGCTTTACAAAGTCCTACGTGGCCATCAGGTTGGATATCTTTCTTCCTTCGTATTGTCTTAAGAGCGTCTGAATTTCTATTGTACCAGAGCACTTTGCGACACTGACCACGACATTCGAGCAGTCGTCTGATTCGACGAAAGTGACGTTTACTCTTGATGGCGTGCCGAAAGGCATGGAAGAGGAAATCACCAGGAATTTAGAGGGATACTAGTACGTACGCGTCTTCGAGAGTGTTTTCATGCACTGACTTTTTTCCAGCATACACGGCCTTAAATCCATTGGGTACGTACAACTCATACCCTACATCAGACCTTTATCATCATCCACTCCTTCTCATACTGGCACTTCTTCTAAACCTACGAGTTCTGCTTCATCAACTGCGACGGCTCTAGGGATAGCCGTGGTGGTTCTTGTCGCGGCGTTCACCCTACCTTACCTCTCAGTATCCCCGATCACCTTGCGTCCTTCTGCGAAATAACGTTATTTGTATACTGATAATGCTATGCTTTTGCGGTTTTGGTTTTGATACAGGTTGGGCACAGTTCTCTGATCGAGTCGCTTCGCGCGGCGAAAGGAAAAGAAATGACATTAAGTGTATCGCAGGTATATCGGGTGTCTCTAGGTGATCAAGAAGAAGAAATGCGCGGTGTAGGAGGATTTATAGAGTAGAACCGAGCGTGGAATGGTGTATAGAATTGGTAGAAATGGATACATTTCGAGTTTTTTTGTACGTTTTGTAGCGGTGCCAGTACCACGTAAAGTCGGACCCCGGACCCCGATGTGAACAATTTTGGGCCTCGGTTTGGTTGGCCGTTCTTCGTCTTGACCTTCTCGTCGTCGTTTGCACCACCAGCTCCTTTACATACTTTTCTCTCCACCCATTTTTCATTTCGAAGCTATGGCTGCTGCGGCTGTCGAGGAAATTCGTGCGACGTCCTATGTCGGTTTCGATTCTATTACGCAGCAGATTGAGCACAAGCTCTTGAAACGTGGTTTCCAGTTCAATGTCATCGTTGTTGGTGAGTTTCATATGGTTTTATGGTGTTTATGTATCTACGGGGCTGAATGATACGTGTCGGGTTTAGGTCAAACCGGTCTTGGGAAGTCGACGTTGATCAACACCGTTTTTGCGTCGCACCTCATTGACTCCAAGGGCCGGTTGGAATCGAACGAGCCTGTCAGGCAGACCACTGAGATTCAAGCCGTCTCACATGGTCAGTCAGCGTTTTCAAAGTCGTATCGAACAGTATTCACGTCGCGGTCCCCCTAGTTATCGTCGAAAATGGTGTCAAACTGCGTCTCAACATTGTTG